TCTTCACTGCTCTTCCTTCATGTTCTCAACTTACACTGCCTTCCTTTTTGATAGATATAGAAAATTTATCAAATATTTGTTCGTCTTGAAAGTCAGACCCAAATAATGACCCTAACAAACCATTTCCAAATTTCCAAGCCTCATGAACTAAGTGTCTAACTTTCAGCAAAATAATAATACCAAGGTTACAGTCTTCTTCTGCTTTCTCGGTTTCATGGTTGTGATACTCACACACGTTATACAGCAATATCTAGTTAGTCTGCCTCTACCACTGCATTCTGACTTTAGTGATCACCCTAATCTATTGGAAGAACTTTAAATGTTTATATCACAGTGATTATGTATGAGTGAGGTGAAAGTGTTGAATGATGATGAAAGTATTTTCTTTTTGGGGATTTTCTTTCTTTTTTTTTTAGGTCACCCTGCTTCGGTGGGAGACGGCCGACTTGTTAAAAAAACAAAAATCACAGTTCTTTTGTGTGTATTTGTATCAAGATGCCAAGGTACATTATACACACATTTTGTCTGTGGCTATGTTTAATATAAATGTTTTACCTTTAACCTACAATAATTCTTCAGATATTGAAAGTACATTTCTTTTGGACAGTTATGTTAAGCGTTTTGAGTGTGTTCAAACTACATTGTGATGTACCACGATACATACCATTAGTATGCTTTGTGTATCCTCTCTTGCCCTGTTGTCCATAATATTTAATTATACCTGTATCGTTGCTATATCCATGAACGAGATACAGCCTTCTGTTTGATTACCAACCATCCTGGAAGCCTTGCATAAATTCCTGAAAGCAGCTTGCCATAGCTAACTGAACCCCTTTAAAATCCTTGGGGGCTGATAGGCAAACTATTTTTCATCTTATCTAAATTTGACTACATCTACCAGCTGTACTTGATTCCATTTATCATCAAGAATTATGTTTGTGTCTAGGTGCTTTTTGTTCCTCCTCAGCTGAAACCTGCGAGCCTTTATGAAGAGGTAAATGTTTCATCTATGCTACCTCTTCAAGGGGGTTTCCTTGGCATGGTGAAGAGGCTTTGGGGTCTGAAGAATTGGATCCTTTGGTCTTTTTCCTCCGACTGAACCTAATTACCCCCCCAATCCCCCCATCCTTCCTATCCCTCCTTTCCCCTTCTCCTTTCTCTCCCCTCTCCTTTTCCCTTCCTCACCTCTTCTTTCCTCCTCTTGGCCTTTGGAATCCTCCCCTCATGTTTCTAGCTCCTAGGTTGGGGGACGGGTATATTATTATTATTATTATAATCAAGGGGAAGCGCTAAACCCGGAGGATTATACAGCGCCTGGGGGGGGATGTGGAAGGCATTCAGGCTTAATTCGGGGAACTGGAGCACAGATCCAATTCCCTAAATCAAGAGCCCCTCGCCAACATCAAGGAACCTTCCTTGAGGGGGGGGGTATAGCTGTCCATCCCATTTGTGGTTTTGGTGTAGTTTGTTGTGGAATTTGGATCATCAGGGGATATCCCAATCCCTCTGGTGACTCAGAGGGTGGCTTGTGATGTCTTTCAGATGACGAGTGTATCTCTAGAGGCAACCTGTCGGTTTTTGGGAGATGGTAGCCGAAGGAGGTATGCCTTGTGGCAGGTTTCCAACCACCCTATCTTTTGTCCACCGAGGTGGTTCAGAGGATGTGAGGTTGCTGTCCTGGATTGTCGGTTTACTGGCATGAAAGGTAGGGTATGGCACAGGTTCCATGCTGCATCTGCACTATTGGTGCTACTGGGGTCCTCTTGTTCCAACCCCCCTCCCCCCTCCCTTTTTTTTTTTTCTTTGGGAAAACGAGTGACATTGATCTAACCATGGAGTCCCAAGTCCGTGATACTTTTCCTCCCAGACCCTTTGCTGTGGTGCCTTTTTCTGACCCTGCCTTGTTATCAGACCATTCTTTGAATCTTTCTAACACCCCTGTACTTTCTGTGGGTAACACTTCGTTGCCTGCCCCTGGTACCAGGATTATGCCTGACTCCTTTGATGCATCCAACCTCTGTACATCTTTGACTATGCTTCTGGCATCACCCTCTACTGTGCAACAATTTTCAGATCGCCTGCACATCTTTGGTCAGACCACCTCTGGTCCCACACCTAAACGACCATGATCATTAACAGATGACACTGCTTCGACTACCTCTCACTCTTCCCAGAAAAGACTAGCACAACACTTCCCTCACACACTATGTTTCAAAGTACACAATGGACTAAGTTTTTCACTCTGTGGCTGACATCTCCCACTATCTGATCGTAGTATCAGCAAGGCACTCTTGTGCCATGTTGGTCCAGGCTCATAATCTTTCCCTCCTTACTTCCATAGACTATATTCCTGTAATGATTAGAAAACACATTTCTCTCAATTCTTGCAGTGGTACCATCATTCTCCCTCATACTGTTATGCAGCATGATTTCCGGACATGTGATGCTGACATTCTGGAGCAACTTGAGCTCCAAGACCTCCCAATTCTCAAAGTAGACACTTAAGTACTACCTGCCCATGGGCAGAGACGCTTTCCTTTCCTTATTTTGTATTGCAGGACACTGTTTACAAGTCCGAGAGTCAATCCCTACACCACAGCAGTGTAGAAATTGCTGGTACTTCGGCCACCCAGCAAAATATTGCATGTCCAAGGCAGAATGTTCAGTTTGTGGTGCTGCTGACCATACCAATACATCCTGCATCCTACCTCCCTCTTGCCTTAATTGTATGAGGCTCACCTGGCTTATTCTCGCCGTTGCGAAGTTTACTTAAAAGAACAAGAAATCCGCTATCAAAGAGAAAGAGGGTCTCACTACGCCATGGCAGTCTCTCATCTCTGTCTCCAAGGGAGATTTCCACAACTTTCTTATTCAAGAGTTACTAAGTTACCTCCAGCCTTGGTAATACCTACTTCCACAATCTCCTCTATGGTGACAACAATACCCACAGTCACCTCTGTTTCTAACTTTTTGCAGCTCTGGACTCTTGATGTTCCTACCTCATCACCTCAAACTGTTCTCGAGTCTTCAAATTCTGTGTCTACAAGACCTCCCACAACTACACCTTCCCTTCATCTCTCTACTCCAATATCTAAACCATCCCCATAGTTCAAATCATCTTCACTTATCCTTCCCAAACGTTTTTCCTTTCCAGTCTCTGTGCCTAGTTCTTTACCTCTTACTGTCTGTTAAATGTGTGAAGGTTCATCCTCTCCCTTGTACAGTACCCTCCTCTCCTGTTCCCTCCCAAGTTTCCTCCTCTCCTGTTCCCTCCCAAGTTTCCTCCTCTCCTGTTCCCTCCCAAGTTTCCTCCTCTCCTGTTCCCTCCCAAGTTTCTTCCTGTTCACTCCCAAGTTTCTTCTCCTGTCCCCTCCCAAGCTAATTAACCTCTCATCCCCCCTTCTTTGGTAACTTCATCATGTCTCCAATCTTTACTCACCCTCCTCCTATCTCGTATGTTGAGGCATCTGCAACTTCCTTGTCCTCTGAAATGCTTGAAACTATTTCTGAATATATTGAGGAGACAAAACCAATGATGGACACCGATCCACCTCCCATCACTCCTCATCCTCACTTTCCCCAACCATCTTCACTACTCATTTCTTCACAGCATCCCAATCCTTCGCTGCTTACTTGTCTTCTGCTACCTCCTCATGTAGCCTACTAGTCCGTAGACACCTACTGCTTCATGTTACCAGCGTTACTTTTCTTCGTAAATCATGGCTTATTGACAGTGAAATATTCAAGGCCTCAGGGGTAATTGGGGTGAGCTTCAGGTGTTTCTCTCCCAGTTTTCCCATTTGTGTCTTTACAAGAACCTAAATTATTCATTACCCGTCTTGGGCTATATTTTATTGCATTCGTCCATTCCTTTTCCCAATGGAACTTTTAATGAATTTGCACTTCTTGTACGTACTGGTGTACCATTCCATCAGATCTTTGTTCATACTTTGCTGCATTATACTGTAGCCTGCATCTACTTGAACAAGTGGTATACAATATGCTCTTTGTATCTTTCTCCTTCTCTAGCATTATCTATTCCAGATTATTACGTTTCTGTTTCTTCCTTACCGCCACCTCTTATTAGGTGATTTTAATGGTCATATTTTCCTCTCTCCCTACGAAAACAAGAGACTCGGTAAGCAGTGCAACATCCCCCCAGTGAAAAGCAGGGATGCCAGGAGTACACTAAGAGATAAGACAGTGCCTCCCAGTATTCATAAGAGGAATTACCAACAGACCCCTGTCTTCAAGTGGGAGCTAGTCAGTACCCAACTAGCCAGTCTGTGGGTGGTATATTGGATTGTGTGTTGCTGGCAGTAACAGCCTGGATGATTAGATCCTGAGCCACCATGAGACCTGGTATGGGGGGTTGACATCTGAAGCACCGTCCAGGTATACTTCCGGTATATTCCAAACAGAAGGCAAGAACAACATCCAGTATCAGGCCCTTGCTTAAACAAGATGGGAATTACGCAGACGACAGTAAAGAGGTAAGTGAAATGGCGAAGTTTCAGTATGATGCTGTTTAGTGAGCCATTGATCAGACTAAAGATCGGTAACCTGAATGAATTTTTTATGAATGAGCCTCGAAACCCTGTCAATGTATGCCAAGTTTCTGACATAATCCTAATTCCACTGGACTTTGAAAAAGTCATTGACAACATTTCCATGCTCTCTGCCCCAGGCCCAGACTCGTGAAACCTCGTGTTCATCAAGAGCTAAGAAACCCTTTTTTGTGTGCCTTAAGTATGCTGTGGAGAGGGAGCCTGAACATGGGTGTCATCCCACAGTTGGTAAAATCAACTGATATAGCCCCGCTCCATAAAGGTGGCAGCAAAGAATTATAGACCATAATACAAATGTCCCACATTATAAAAATCTTTGAAAGAGTTATAAGAATTATGATCGCCAACCACTTGAATTCCCAACAGCTCTGCAATCAAGAGCAGCATGGGTTTAGAGCAGGTTGCTTCTTCCTGTCGCATCTACTGGACCACTATGACATTATCTTGGATGTACGGAAGGACAAACAGAATGCAGATATTATACACAGACTCAAAAATCTTCGACAAGTATAATCAAGGTGTAATAGCACACAAAATGCATGCAAAAGGAATAACTGGAAAGGTGGGCAGATGGATCTTAAGTATATGAAGGATTTGGAAATGTTAACATCAGAGGATTTCACCTTCAAGAATCACAACAATGTTACAATCACATCTGCAAGGAAAATGATATCTTTCAAAACAAGTGATGCCAGGCCAATGATATCCTTTTTAAATCACTTTTTCTCTAGGCTGGAATACTACTGTTCATTAACAGCCCATTTCAAAGTAGGTGAAATTTCAGATCTAGAAACGGTATAGAGAACCTTCATTGCATGTGTAAGTTCAGTCAGCACTTTAATTACTGAGAATATTTAGAGTCTCAATCTGTACTCCTTCGAATGCAGACAAGATGAGTAATAATCTACGCCTGGAAAATCCTAGAGTGACTGGTACCAAATCTGCACATATCAATCATTGCCTACAAAAGCAAGATGGTGCAACGTACCCCCCAATGAGAAGTAGGGGCGAAATGAGTACACTAAAGATAAAATATAAGTGTCTGGGGCCCAAGGCTGTTCAATAGCCTCCCACCATGCATAAAGGAAATTACCAGTAGATCCCTGGCTGCCTTCAAAAGGGAACTGGACTGATACCTAAAGTTAGTACCCAGTCAGCCAGGCTGTGGTTCGTATGTTTGACATCCTTCCCTCGAGGGAGGTTCCTTGACGCTTGTGAAGGGCTCTTGATCTAGGGAATTGGATCTGTGCTCCGGTTCCCTGAATACCTTCCACCCCCCCAACGTGCGATATAATCCTACGGGTTTAGCACTCCCCCATGATTATAATAATGCAGACACGTCCCTAGTCTGATACGATTCGAACCCTTCATGACTTCAAAGAAGCCGTTATACCTCGTGCTCTCTGCCCCAGTCTGACTCTGGGAACTAGATATTGAGAACTGCAAGAAACCCTTATTACATGCTTTAAATATTCTGTGAAGAAGCCTAGACACTGGAGTCATCCTACAGTCATTAAAAGCCATTGGTATTGCACCACTCCACAGAACGAAGACGACGGAGGTAAATTCTGTATGCTCGTTGATAGATTGGGCAGTCTAACAGAATGTGGCTGACTGATACTGGAACCTGACAATTCTCAAAGAGAGGAGCAAGGCGCCTCTCCACGAGATACCCATGAGTAAGACTAGTGTGGCCAATGCAAAGGCGGGAGAGAGTAGTCTCCCAACCTCGACACTGATGACAAGAAGACGGCCAGTAACCTATACTCGGTTTAATAGAACGAAGTTTGTTATTAAGCAGAGCAGACCAACGTTGTTGCCAACAGGTATGAAGGTGGGTAGCTATAACAGCAAAATAGTCCATGAATGGAACACCTCTATATGAAACTGGAAGGTCATGCACTGCTGACCGTGCAGCAGTGTCTGCCTGTTCATTGCCCTGTATGTCAACATGACCAGGGACCCAACAAAAAATAATATCTTATATTTGGATACAGAGAACTAGAGGGTGAGGTGTATCAAATTTTTGTATAGCCTGTAAAGCACTAAGGGAGTCTGAGACAACCACAAATGATGACACAGGCAAAGATGCAATACGGATAAGTGCTGCAAGAATGGCATACAATTCAACAGTAAAAATGCTAGCCGAAGTCAGTAAATGCCCTCGCACGACACTGTCCGGAAACATTGCTACGAATCCGACACCATCAAAAGACTTACAGCCATCTGTGTACACTGCAATGGCATGAGAATGAGAATGGAAGTAGTCAAGAAAAAGAGAGCGGGAAGCTACCGTAGGTAGTTGGGCTTTTGAGCAAGGGAGTGAGAAAGAACAAACTCGAACAGCTGGAACTTCCCAGGTGGGCAGGGAAAAGTGAGATGCTACATGAACAAAGAAAGGTGGCAACTGAAGGGAAGACGAGTGAATGTAGGCGAAGTGAAAAGGGACGGTAAACCGACGTAAGAACCATAGCCCGGCTGATCAGGTACTGACTTTAGGTGCCTGCCCAGCTCCTTGAAGACAGCCAAGGGTCTATTGGTAATCCCCTTACATATGCTGGGAGGCAGTTGAACAGTCTTGGGCTCCTGACACTTTTTGTGTTGTCTCTTGGTGTACTTGTGGCGCCCCTGCTTTTCATGGAAGAATGTTGCATCTTCCGCCGAGTCTTGCTTTCGTATCGAGAAGTGAAAGTAACTAGTCCAAAAGTTGTTTTACAGTTCTATGTATCACTAATAAGGCCTCACTTAGATTATGCAGCTCAGTTTTGGTTGCCATACTATAGAATGGATATATTATTATAAAAAAAGAAACGCTAAACCACAAGGGTTATACAGTGCTGCGGGGGCAGGGAAGGAAGCGAGGGTATCAGGTGGCAAAAGGGAGAGGGATGATTAGTAGTTTACGGATATAGAATGGATATAAATGTATTGGAGAACATACAGAGAAGCATGACTATGAATCCACAGTATAAGGAATCATATGAGGATGTCGGTAACGTTACTGTGTACAGTACTTAGATAATCCCAGCTACATTATAGATAGGCTCCCCTGCTAGCTGTGACAAGATCCTCACACGTGAACGGTCGGCCAGAGGCCTCGTGGTCAGTTTCCTGCTAGGTATAGACTGGGCTTCTCCACAAGACTCTCGTGTGTATTTCTTACTCCAATATCTCCTCACGAACTCCCCACGACAAGGATGAAATGAGAACCTTGAACCTTCACTTTCTCGAGAGACGTAGGATGAGGGGAGATGACTCACGAAATCGCAATGACGTGATATAAAAAAAATCATACCACTGGCGGGGACTGAATTCGTGAGTCTTAAAACAGCTTGCCCAGTGGCTTACTTACTGGCCTGGAGTTTTACGACTCTCCCCCTCAAGGGAGGTTCCTTGATGCTGGTGAAGGGCTCTTGGACCTGTGCTCCAGTTTCTTGAATTGAGCCTGAGTAACTTCCATTCCCCCCCTACATGCGCTGTATAATCCTGCTGGTTTCGCGCTCCATGATTATAATAATGACTCGCTCGCCACGAGTTCAATCCCCGCCCAAAGAGCTTTTTTTTTTTTTCATGAGGGGGAGATGTCATTGAAGTATATGAGAGATTATAATCAAATTGTTTGGAATTCCTTAACTGGGAATCTCGAGTCAAATGACTTCCTAGAGGTAATTCAAGATTGTTTTTTAAATCAATTTGTGAAATAACCAAGGGGGAAAATAACTTGCTTAATTTTGTTCTGGCTAACAAGGATACTCTTGTTAATAATTCAGAGATTACAAAAGAACTTGGCCCAAGAGACCACAAATCGATTACCTTAAGTACTGAATGGAAATATGATACCTGGAGTGTTTCGGGGGTCAGTGCCCCCACTCCTCGGTTCATGACCTTTATTTTTATAATCAAGGGGGAAGCGCTAATTATTATTATTATAATCAAGGGGGAAGCGCTAAACCCGGAGGATTATACAGCGCCTGGGGGGGGGGATGTGGAAGGCATTCAGGCTTAATTCGGGGAACTGGAGCACAGATCCAATTCCCTAAATCAAGAGCCCCTCACCAACATCAAGGAACCTTCCTTGAGGGGGGGGAAGCGCTAAACCCGTAGGATTATACAGCACCTGTGGGAGGGATGGAAGGTATTCAGGGAACTGGAGCACAGATCCAATTACCAAGATCAAGAGTCCCTCACCAGCATCAAGGAACCTTCCTTGAGTGTGGTTCATGACCAGGCTTCATTGTAGATCAGGGCCCGATCAAACAGGCTGTTACTGCTGGCCGCATGAAACCCGATGTATGAACCACAGCCTGAGTGGTCAGGTACTGACTTCAGGTGCCTGTCCAGCTCCCTCTTGAAGACAACCAGGAGTCTATTGGTAATCCCCCTAACATGTGATGGGAGGCAGTTGAACAATATTGTGCCGATGACACTGTGTCAACAGTATTACTTTTGTCTCTTAGCATACTCATGGCATCCCTGCTTTCACTGGAGGGGAAGGATGTTGCGCCGAGTCTAGCTTTCGTATTATAATCAAAAAGAAGCGCTAAGCCACAAGGGCTATACAGCGCTGCAGGGTAGGGAAGGAAGCGAGGGTATTGGGCAGCAGAATGGGGGAGGGATGATCAGTAGGTTACAGAAAACAGCGGGGCAGGGGATAGTGCGGGGGCAGAGGGTAGCAAGAGATCGAGGTAGGGCTGAGGGGAGCGCTAAAGGTATCATCATCAGAGTTTGTGAAGTCAGTTGTTGTCAAAAAGTCAATGAGAGTGTCTGGATGAAAGGTGGGTCCATCAGCAAGAAGGGAAGCTAAAGAGAGAGCAGCGGAGCGAAGACAACGTCGGAGGTAAATTCTGCATGCTCGTTGATAAAGTGGGCAGTCTAACAGAATGTGGCTGACCGATAATGGAACCTGACAATTCTCACAGAGGAGCAGGGCGCCTCTCCATGAGATATCCACGAGCAAGACGATTATGGCCAATGCGAAGACGGGAGAGAGTAGTCTCCCAACCTCGACACTGGTGATAAGAAGGTTGCCAGTAACCTATACTCGGTTTAATAGATTGAAGTTTGTTACCGAGCACAGTAGACCAACGGGTGTGAAGGTGGGTAGCTATTGCAGCAAATTATTATAATAAAAAAGAAGCACTAAGCCACAAGGGCTGTACAGCGCTGCAGGATAGGGAAGGAAGCGAGGGTATTGGGCGGCAGAAGGGATGATCAGTAGGTTACAGAAAACAGCGGGGCAGGGGATAGTACGGGAGTAGAGGGTAGCAAGAGATTGAAGTAGAAAGGGCTGAAGGTATCAGAATTTGTGAAGTCAGTTGTCAAAAAGTCAATGAGAGTGTCCGGATGAAAGGTGGGTCCATCAGCGAGAAAGGAAGGTAAAGAGAGCAGTGGAGCGAAGATGACGACGGAGGTAAATTCTATGTGCTCGTTGATAAAGTGAGCAGTCCAACAGAATGTGGCTGACTGATAATGGAGCCTGGCAATTCTCACAGAGAGGAACAGGGCACCTCTCCATGAGATATCCACAAGTAAGACGAGTATGGCCAATGCGAAGACGGGAGAGAGTAGTCTCCCAACCTCGACACTGGTGATAAGAAGACGGCCAGTAACCTATACTCGGTTTAATGGATTGAAGTTTGTTACCGAGCATAGTAGACCAACGTTGTTGCCAACAGGTGAGAAGATATTGCAGCAAAATAGTCCGTAAATGGAATACCTCTATATGAAACTGGTAGGTAATGTGCTGCTGACCGTGCAGCAGTGTCTGCCTGTTCATTGCCCTGTATGTCAACATGACCAGGGACCCAACAAAAAACAATATCTTTATGCTTGGTAAAGATGCGGCGTAGCCAAAGTTGGATATGGAGGACTAAGGGGTGAGGTGTATCAAATTTCTGTATAGCTTGTAAAGCACTAAGGGAGTCTGAGACAACCACAAATGATGACACAGGCATAGATGCAATACGGATAAGTGCTGCAAGGATGGCATACAATTCAGCAGTAAAAATACTAGCCAAAGATAGTAAATGCCCTTGTACGACGCTGTCCAGAAACACTGCTGCGAATCCTATGCCGTCAGAAGACTTAGAGCCATCTGTGTACACTGCAATGGCATGAGAATGAGTGGAAGTGGTCAAGAAAAAGAGCAGGAAGCTACTGTAGACAGTTGGGTTTTCGAGCAAGGGAGTGAGAAAGAACAGACTCAAACAGCTGGAACTTCCCAGTGGGGTAGGGAAAAGTGAGATGCTACATGAACATAGAAAGGTGGTAACTGAAGAGAAGACAAGAGCGAATGTAGGCGAAGGGAGAAGGGACGGAGCAAACAGGGGCGGCAAACAAATAATGTCTACTAATATTGGTGACCATTCTATAAATGGAAGGATTGCGGAGATCATGAGAGCGTACATAGTGAAGGCAATGGGCATCACGGCGATCGGATAAGGATGGAACGTTCACTTCTGCATAGAGGCTCTCAACAGGGAAAGAGTGAAAAGCACCAAGGTATAAATGTAATCCTTGGTGATGAATGGGGTTAAGGCTAGAGAGAGTAGCAGGAGAGGCCGCTGAATAGATCTGGTCACCATAATCAAGTTTCGATAAAATGAGGGCGGAATGTAGGCAAAGGAGAGTTCGACAATCAGCTCCCCGTGAAATATGAGCAAGTGTTTTAAGAAGGTTCAGCTGGCTGTGACAAGTTGCCTTCAGAGAGGTAATGTGAGGTTTCCAGGATAACCTACGGTCAAAGAGGAGGCCTTGAAATGTGACTATCATGTTCAGGGATACGGGAGCCATAGAGGTACAAAGGATGATCGGAGACGACAGAGCATCTAGTGAAAGTAATTTGGCGAGTTTTGGTACTGGAAAATTTAAACCCATGTGTGGTGGCCCCATTGGAAACACGGTCAACAGCATGCTGGAGAGAAACTGTAATGAGGTGACAGTCAGCGCCTGCACAGGCAATAGCGAAGTCATCAACATAGAGTGATGATCAAATATTGGATGGAAGACTAGAGGCCAAATCATTTATAGCAAGGAGAAAGTGTTGTGCTCAGAACACATCCCTAGGGGACACCTTCGGCTTGGATAAAGTAGGGGGAGAGCACATTATTAACCCGAACACAGAAATGTCTGTCAGTTAAAAAGTTCTTAAGGAAGGATGGTAGATTGCCTCGAAGGCCTAAGGAGTGGGCTTGGGCCAAAATATCATACCTCCAAGTTGTGTCATATGCCTTCTCAAGGTCAAAAAACATGGCAATAACTGAGTGGTTATTTGCAAAGGCATTACAAACATACGTATCCAAGCATAGTAAGGGGTCTATGGTAGAACGGCCCTTACGAAAGCCGTATTGACGAGTGGAGAGACTGTTGTCTCTAAATACCACACTAAACGTCTATTTACCAAGCGTTCCATCACTGCAAACTGCACTGGTAAGAGCAATGGGACGATAGTGGGAGGTTTCATGTCCTGTAGTGCCCGGTTTGTGGAAAGGGAGAGGAATGGCAGATTTCCACAGCTGTGGAAGAACTCCTTGTGACCAAATAAGATTGAAAAGGCATAATAGGACTGCTAGGGCTGACTGATGTAAATGTTGTAGCATACGAATATGAATGTCGTCGGGCCCAGCTGCCAATGATCGGCGGCAAGCTGAGTGTGTTGCCTCCAGTTCCTGAAGTGTAAAAGGCACATACTGTTCTTCTCTGAGAGAAGAAAAGTCCAAGGGTGCTAACTCTCTGGCAGACTTTGAGGAAAGAAACGAGGGGCAGAGATGGAGCCCCTGAGAAATACGGACCAGATGATTGCCAATTTCATTGGCAACATCCAGTGGGTTTGCTATATCAACACCAGCAACCCGCAGAACAGGAGCCGGGTCAGGAGAATATTTACCACTCAGTTTTCGTACTATTTTCCAGACTGCACTCAGAGAAAGCAGAGGTGATGGTGGAGACAATCTTGCCAGCAAGTGCGTTTAGTGTCACGGTGAGCGATCGCACGCTTCCGCTTAACCCTTAATTGGTCCAAACGTATATATACGTTCACTCGCGTAGCACCCCAAATTTTTTGAGGAAAAAAAAAATCTTTTCTTTTAAAAGGAAAAAAGAGCATATGGTACCCAGATATCCCCAATTATTTTAATATGGCACACAGTGAGTGCACACACCCATTCTCTCATGTCTAGGTGACTCAGGCTTATTGTGGCAACGTTGAATGAATGACAAAGAAAACGTATATATACGTTTGGGGCGCTACGCGCGTGAACGTATATATACGTTTGGACCGTTTAAGGGTTATAGTAGTCTCTCCGTGGTTCTATTGTACGCAGGAGACCACCAAGGCATGCATTTCTGAGAATGCCTGCCCGAAGTTTGGGGTATATTATTATAATCAAAAAGAAGCGCTAAGCCACAAGGGAATTTGGGGTATAGAATGAGAAGCTGTGGTTAAAACGGAGGACGAGAAGAGGTATAAAAGCTCATCAATGGAGGATGAAGAAGAAACCTCACTCAAAATAGTTAGTCATGAGTAAAGGTTCCAATTTGCCTGATCAAATTGCCAGCGTGGGTTACGAAGAGGTGGCGAATGTGAAGGGGAAGTAAGAATGATTGGGAAATGATCGCTGTCATGTAAATCCGGGAGAACACACCAGGTGAAGTCTAATGCGGCGGAGGAAGAGCAGACTGAAAGATCGATGGAAGAGAGAGTATGAGTCCGAGGATCAAAATGGGTTTGAGTACCTGTATTTAGAACATGGAGGGGGCGGGCAGCAGGAAAAGCCTCTAACTGAATGCCACGGGAATCACAGTGAGATTCCCTCCCCCCCCCCCCCCCCGAGGAAATGATGGGCATTAAAATCGCCAAGTAACAGAAGTGGTGGCGGTAATGACGAAACAAGAAAGGCAATATCCGGGATAGATAATGCCCGAGGAGGAGAGAGATACAAAGAACAGTGTATACCACCTATGCAAGTGGATACGGGCTGCTGTGTAATGCAGCGAAGTACGAACAAATAGCTGATGGTATGGAATATCAATGCATAGAAGAAGGGCACTTTCATTAAAGGTCCCATCAGGAAAAGGATCTGAAGAATACAATAAATTATAGCCTGAGATGGGATAGATAACAGTGTAATTTTGGTTCCTGTAAGCAAACACCAACAGGGGAAAACTGGGAGAGCAACAACTGAAGCTCACCCCAATTACTCCTGAGGCCACATATATTCCACTGTAAATAGACCATAATTGGCAATGATAAAGATACCTGAAATCCGCAGGTAAGGGTACCTACGTACTAGAGGGGTTAGAAAAGTCCACATGCGGTGGCAAAGGAAAACGTTCAAGCAGCGAAGGAACGGTGCACTGTGAAGAAAGGAGTTGCGCAGGTGGAGAAGAGGAAAGAGAAGGAACAGAGGGTGGATCAGTGTCCATTGATGGTTTGGTCTCTGCAATATATTCAGAGATTGCTTCAAGTGTTTCGGAGTTCAGAGACGTCGTATGAGAGACAATATTGGAGATGGAAGGAGGAGGAGTTTGAGTAAAGATCAGAACTGTAATGGACTGTATCAAGGTGGGGGGGGGGCAAAAGGGTGGAGGGAACTGAAGAAGTGTGGGAGGGGACAGAAGAGGCAGAAACCTGCGAGGTGGCAGAAGAGGAAGAAACTTGGGAGGGGACAGGGGAGGAAGGCACAGTACAAGGAGGAGGATGAACCTCCACACTTGTAACAGAGCCAGTGAAAGGGGAAGACCTAGGTACAGAGACCAGGAAGGTAAAATGTGGAGGTGGATGAAGGGAAGGAGGGGTTAAAGGAGATTTTTTGGACCTCTGAGAAGTAGAGAGACGATTGGGAGAAGGTGTCGTATGAGGTCTTGTGGATACCAGGGTTTGTGAGGGAGAACATGAAGAAGTGAGGATGGACTGAGGTGTTGAAGTAGGGACGTCTGAGCCCAGGACAGCAAAAGAATTAGATACAGGAGTGACTATGGGACTGGCAACCGCAGAGGAGGTTGCAGAAGATGGGGGGGGGGCGTTTTGAAACAGGAGAATAAGAAACACGGGGTAGTTTCCCTTGGAGGCAGAGATGAGAAACTGCCATGGCATAAGGGAGACCTTCTGCCTCTTTGAGGCGACGAATTTCCCGCTCATTTAAGTAGACCTGGCAAGGGCGAGAGTACAAAGGGTGAGCCTCATGACAATTAAGGCAAGAGGGAGTTCGACTGCAAGACGTATTAGAATGGTCATCGGCACCATAGACTGGGCATTCGGCTATAGATCTGCAATATTTTGCTGGGTGGCCAAATCACCAGCAATTCCTACACTGTTGTGGTGTAGGGATCACCTTCCGAACTTGTAACCTATGTCCTGCTACATAAACAGAGGATGGGAGTTCATGGCTGTCAAAAGTTAAATGAGCCACATTGCAAGGGTATCGTCTTCGCCTGCGGGCAGGAAGATCATAAGTGTCTACCGTGAGAATTGGGAGATCTTGGAGTTCCAGCTGTTCGAGAATGTCATTGCCACATGTCTGGAAATTCTGTTGGACTATGGTATGGGGCAGAATAACAGTACCACTACAAGAATTGAGGGAATGATGTTTCTCATTAGTGATAGGAATAGTATCGATATGTGAAAGAGAAAGATCATGAGCTTGGGTAGAATTCTGGACTGTGATGATGCATGTACCACTCTTAAGGGCATGAAAGGAAATATCTCTACCAACGTGGCGTAGGAGCTCTTTTGCCAATACTATGGTCGGAAAGATAGGCAGTAGAAGAAGTCAGTCTTAAAGTATTTAGTCCATTGTGTGGTCCAAAACTGTGTGGAGAGGGAGTGCGTGACATGTTGGTCTTTTCCAAGTAGAATGGGAAGGTAATGAAGTAACATCATCAGGAGATTGTCGTTGGCGTTTAGAAGTGGGACCAGAGTCGGTCCAACATGGGACGGGCTGGCGATTTGAAAATTGCCACACCATAGAGGGAGAGGCTGGAAGCATAGTCAAAGGAAAGCGGAGGTCAGACAAATCAAAGGAGTCAGTTGAAACCCCGGCACCTGAAGCGGGTGAGGAAACAGCACCAGCAAGAGATACAGGGGCCTTTAGGAGTGGCCAAAAGACGAGGCAAGGTCAGAACAGGGTGTGGTAACAATAAGGGGCCCGGGGGTAGCGGGGTCATGGATTTGGGACTCCATGGTTAGGTTACTTTTCTTTTTTTTTCTTAAAAACAAAAAAAGAAAATAAAAAAAAGGGGGGGACCGGGGAGGGATAGTTCCTAGGAGGAATGAAAGGGCCAGAAATCTCCCTCCGCGCCCAAGAGGACCTCAGCACCTCAAGTAGCGCAGATGCAGCATGGAACCCGTGCCATACCCTACTCTTCATGCCAGTAAACCAGCAATCCGGGATAGCAACCTCACATCTGCTGAGCTACCTCAGTGGACAAAAGAGAGGGCAGCCAGATATCCACCACAAAGCATACCTCCTTCGGCCACCACCTCCGGAATCCGAAAGGTGGCTTCCAGAGATACACCCGTCGCCTGAAAGACACCCATAGCCATCCTCCGGGATACCGGAGAGGGATCGGGACATCCCCAGGTGATCCAGATCCCACGGCAAACTACGCCACCACCAAGAACCTCAATGGAATGGGATGGACCCTGGTACCCTTCCCCCTATGAACTAGTGTGCCTGTGGGAAAAATCCCAAAGGCCAAAAAGAGGAAGGGCAAAAGGGAGGGGTGGGGAGGAGGAGGAGGAAGGGATAGGGAAGGGGGGATTGGGGGGTAATTAGGTTCGGTCTGAGGAAGGAGACCGACAAGTCTAATTCCTCAGACCAAGAGCCTCTTCACCACGCCAAGGAGCCCCCCTTCATTGAAGAGGTTAGCTTTCGTAGGGAGTGATTTCCATGTGCAGATTTGGGACTAGTCCCTCTAGGATTTTTTTTAAGTGTATATTATCATATGCTCCTCAAGGGAGGTCCTTGATGCTGGTAAGGGGCTCTTGATCCATGGAATTGGGTCTGTGTTCCAGTTCCCTGAATACCTTCCATCCCCCCACCCCTACAGGCACTGTATAATCCAATGGGTTTAACGCTCCTCCACGATTATATTATCATGCGTCTTTCTCGCCTGCATTCCAAGGAGTACAAGTCAAGGGATTTCAACCGTTCCCAGTACTTTAGGTGCTTTATTGTACTTGCGTGTGCAGTGAAAGTTCTCTGTATATTCTCCAGGTCAGCAGTTTTGCCTACCTTGAAAGGGGCCATTACTGTACTCCATCCTAGAGAGAATAAGTGATTTGAAGAGAATCATCATTGGCTTGGCATCCCTAGTTCTGAAGGTTCTAATTATCCATACCATTACTAGCATCAAGGCACTGAACTCCTTCCTTTAACTATGAAATCATGGATACCTGGAGGGGGCTTTGGGGTCAATTCCCCCGCAGCCCGGTCCATGACCAGGCCTCGCGGTGGATCAGGGTCTGATCAACCAGGCTGTTGCTTCTGGCCGCACAACAGAGGATAAAGAAAATAAAGGAAGGATAAAACATATATTCCAGGGTTAAGTAGACATTATGTAGCGGAAATTTTTTTTCTTTACTTTAATGATACAACACAGAATATTAATGTTATGAAGACTAAAAACTCATTATACCGTGGCTGGAACACTATACCAATAACCGGCACTTACGAAACTAAAATCTATGACGACATTTTGGTCCGACTTGAACCACTGATAAGTCACACTGAAGCGAGAAGCGAAGGCCGAAATATATACGAGAAGTGGTGGGGAGAGAACAGAAAGGTGGTAGTAGTAGTAGTGGTGGTAGTAGTGATGAGGTAGTAACAATAGTAGTAGTGGTGGTAAAAGAATGAAGTGATAGTGAAAGATCTAGTTGTAGTCACAACAAAGCGAGAAAAAAGGTAAAGACCGAAGAAAGAATGGAAGGAGAAACCAGGTGGTATTAGTGGTGGTAGTAGAAGTAGTAACAGTAAATAGCAGTAGTAGTAGTAGCATTGGTAGTAGTAAATAGCGATGTAAGTAGTAGTAGTGTAGCAGTTGCAGAGGAAGAAATAAGAAATTAGCAGAAATAGTAGTAGTAGTGAAAACCTAAGGACAAATAATGGCAGAGTGTAGTAGTAAAGAAGAGATAGCAGTAATAGTAGCGGTGATAGAGGGCCAAGAGAACAGAGGAGCACTGTAGGAGAGATATTGACCAGGGCAAAAACCTAACTGAGGAGAAAAAAAAAAAAACTTAGGACATAACCCATCAAAGCAGAAAGCAACAAAAACAATAAAAATATGGGAAAGGCGAAGAGGTAAGAAGAGGAGATGATAAAGTAGTCACGAGTGTTCTGAAGTTTAGAGCATTCAGTAATGTTATGAGAGAGGAAGGCATCTACAAAGACAAAGCCAGGACTAAGGTTCATACTAGGAATGTTGTAAATAAGAGATGCTTCTACAAGATGGCATCTGTAAAGGTTAAATGAAGGGTAAACAGTTTTGGCGAAGTGTTAGGTAATAGTATGACTAATCTCCAACGTGACAGAAAAAACAGTGTCTAAGTCCAACACTTCTTTTGTGCTCTTTGTATCTGTCAGTAAGAGAGTGGGCAGCTTAACCAAAATACTGGGAGGACAAGAAGAGCAGAAAATGTAGCAGACACTGAAATCATCAATGGCAGGAAAGAAACTAGATTACTACGAAGGATATTAGTTTGGCGAAAAGTAAAAGACAAAGGGGGCTACTAAGATATTGGAGACTGGAAATATAGGGAAGGTTAAGACAAGGAGATTTCACAAGAGAATGGAGTAGGCAGAGTTTATGAAATGAGGATAAACAAGGTCACAGAACAAGCTACAAAGATCTGAGATATTGAGGATCACAGGAGCGGAGGCCACGGAGAAAGGGAGAAACAAGAACACTTCTTGACAGAGATAACATGGTAAGAAAAAGCATTGAATGTATATGCCACTGCGATAAATGACAAAACGGAAAACCTATCGCCGAGCGATGGACATGCATATCAAGGAAAGGAAGAAAAGTGTTAGATTCTCTTTCAGCATTAAACATGACTGAAGGAGCAAGATTGTTCGATGCATAGGGAAAAGGTTGGAAGAGACTAGAGTTATCTGACCAAAGAGCAAAGATATCGTCTACATAACGAAGCCAGGGAGAGAGGTGTTTCCCAACAGCAGGATGTAGAACAGCTTTGAAATACTTCATATGAAGATTAGCATGAACAGAGGATAGAGTAGAACCCATAGCAACAACAAAAGTTTGAGAATAAAATTTACCTTGAAAAGAGAGAGAGACGAGTTCACACTAGGGCGAATAAGATCAAGAAAGACATCAGTATGCACAAGGAGACAAAGTAGCCCTTTACTGACCTTCACTTTGAGAAAACTGAGATAAAGAGAAATTATTGAAGAGGAACTTAGCATCTTACAGGTCGAATGCAGCCTAACACGTTTAAGAGTGTCGGTGGTGAGCAAGAAGAGAAAAAAGAATGAAGAAAAGGAGCGAGAGTTTTACCCAGCCAAAAAGCAAGAGGATAAGAGACAAAACCTCTGGAGAAAATGATGGGCCGTAGGTATACCAGGTGCATGAGTTTCAAGAAGACTATAGAAATAATGCAGAGAGGGACAGATAATGAGGAATCGCTGAACAAGATCAAAGTTAGGACAGAGATTAGAGAGTCTCGAAAGTTAAGTTTAAGGATAAAAGTTCTCTTGGTGAGATTAAGAGGGTGGGTAACAAGAGTAATGTAGATGCGTGAATCAGAATTGCATATATCAAAGGGAACGATAACAAAATTTGTAGCATATTTAAGAGAGTAAGAGTAGGTTAATAGCGACGAGGAAGATGGTAATTCTCAGAAAACAGGCCATCAAGGGCAGGAATGAGAGCACCATGAATAATAGACAGGTCAAGAACATTTTGAGAGACTGGTGAGAGGAATCAAAGGAGTTAATCGGTCAGTGACAGAGCGAGTAGATGAAGTGGCAACGAAAAGTCCAAAACTGAGAAGTTGAAGCTGATGTTGGGAGAGTGTGACGGAAGACAAACTAGTAAGTCAGTGAGGGAGATTTTGGACCAAGGCTGTTGGAGATGACACGATGAAGTTTGTGTAGTTTATTAAAGTGAATTTCCGAATTAAAGCGAGCAGTGTCGAGAATAATGATTGTGAAAAGGTTACAGAGATCATGTGGGAGAGAGAAGAGAGCACGTTGGCGTTGATGGAGGGTGAAGAAGGCATTAACTTGAGACTTAATAGAAAGCATGAGGTGTCGAAGCATCATCAGGAAATGGAGTGCCCAAGGTGCTGAATTTGAGGAAATGGGAGGAAGGGAGCAAAACATCTTCAGCAAGATAGTCACGTAAAAAGCGAAGTTGGTTCTTACAATATCTGGAAACAATAAGAGTAATGAAAGAAAAAATCAAAACTGGAAAGAATGAGACGCTTACCTGCGGGGTCCGTAAAGAATAAAACGTCATGATACAATGGCTGGAACATTATATCATTACTATTTTCACTGCTGTTACCTTTACTACTGCTAATAATCCTGCTATTCTATGACCTCCACCAGCACTACTACTGTCAATACTAATACCATTTCCTTCTCTCCCCTCTCCCCCCCCCCTCTCGTATGTATTCTGGTCTTTTTCCTCCTCGTTCAGTTTAATTTGTCAACAGTTCAAGTAGGACCCAAACGTCTTCATAAGATTTCCTCTAAGTGCGGGTTATTTGTTTTTTATTATTAAAATTATGTACAAAATAATTATAAAACCAACCTAAGATAATGATTTTAACAATCATTTCAGCACTAACAATTATTACAGCTTATAACCGAGGAAAAAGGAGCTCTGTATAAATTGGAAGTCAGCTTTAAAAAACTCATACACTGTACTCGCCTAATTGTGGTTGCAGGGGTCGAATCATAGCTCCTGGCCCCTCTTCACTGGTTACTACTAGGTCACACACTCCCTGCTCCGTGAGCTTTATCATACCTTTCTCAAAACTATGTATGGATCCTGCTTCCACTACATCACTTTCCAGACTATTCCACTTTCTGACAACTCTCTGACTGAAGAAATACTTCTTAACATCCCTGTGACTCATCTGAGTCTTCAATTTCCAACTGTGACCCCTTGTTGCTTTGTCCCATCTCTGGAACATCCTGTCTTTGTCCGCCTTATCGATTCCTCTCTGGATTTTGAATATCATTATCATGTCCCTCCCCATCCCTCCTGCCCTCCAGTGTTGTCAGGTTGATTTTCCTTAACCTCTCCTCGTAGGACATGCCCCTTAGCTCCTGTCCTAGTCTCGTTGCAAACCTTTGCATTTTCTCTAATTTCCTGATGAGCTTGGCCAGGTGTAGATTCCAAACTGGAGCTGCATATTCTAATATGGGCCTGACGTACACGGTGTATAGAGTTCTGAACGATTCCTTACTGATATGTCAGAATGCTATTCTTAGGTTAGCTAAGCGTCCATATGATGCAGCAGTTATTTGGTTGATGTGCGCCTCAAGTGTCTATACACTGAAGAGCTGCAAGTGAATCCCGCACACACATGCTGAAAGTTATTCAGTACAAATATCCATCCTGAGATTGCACCAGAGTACACCTCACACACGGCCCTCGCACTATTTTCACCAGACCCTGACCGATCTCAACTATCTCTCTGGATATCTTTTATTTCAAAGCCTTCATTTTTGTCCTGTGATCCAGACCTAAAATAGAGATTATTTTCAGCTACCCTATCCTTCTTTTCCTCTGGGGTCTTGTCAAAAAAAATACAAGAGAGCTTCATTACGGTACTAGTCAACGTCATGAAGGTCTCCCACTCTGAGACAGGCCATAGCTCGAGGGTCTACGTATATTTTTCCTGATAGGAATGTGCTCACATTTTCTCCATTTAGCAGTCTGGATATAATGAAATTCTCGTTTTTCTATCTCACTAATGAGGTGAGTTACCATCACTCATCATTGCTATAACGATGAATTAAAATGTGAAATCTTATATGGGGACCTCCTATACACACACACACACACACACACACACACACACACACACACGAGAACCCAGGCACAGGAGGAAGAGCAGATACAACTTCCCTCAGAACCACCTACAGAAGGATCTCAACCACGACAACCCCAATGCAACCAAACAATCTAACCCAATATCCACACACTGTACCCGCTGCCCCCACCCCTCTCATCACAAACTCCACCCCCACAACAACCCCCCGTAGTTCTCCGCCAGGTCTCCCGCTCACCCAACACCAACGTTCTCCCTAGACCACAGTTTTAGAAAAGAAGTTCAAGGTTTGGTATACGAATGCGGATGGTAAAACAAATAAATGTGAGGAGTGGTATGAAAGAATCAAGGAGACGTCCCCAGACATTACAGCACTCACAGAAACGAAACTCCCTGGGATGACAACAGATGCAAGCTTCCCACCCGGATATCAGATCCTGAGGAAAGATAGGAGGAGGAGGAGGAATTGCACTGTTCATTAAAAACCGATAGGGATTTGAGGAAATGGAAGGAATGGGCGAAAAGAACTGCATAGTAGGTACAATTCAGTCTGGGGGCCATAAGTCAGTCATTTCAGTGATGTACAACCCGCCACAGAACTGCAGGAGGCCAAGAGAAGAATATGAAGAGAGCAATGATGGACACACTAACTGAGGTGGCAAGAAGGGCTCACTCGAGCAGAGCAAAGTTACTAGTTATGGGTGATTTCAATCACAGAGATTGATTGGGAAAACCTGGTTACAAATGGGGTCCTGAAACACGGAGAGCCAAGATAATGGATGTGGTACTGGAAAACCTCATGCATCAGCATGTTAGGGACACCACAAGAGAGAGGGGCGAGGATGAACCAGCAAGACTGGGTCTCATATTCACCCTGAGTAGCTCCGACATCGAGGGCATCACATATGATCACATGGTTCTGAGCTTTGAATACATGGTAGAGTTACGAGTGGAGAGGGTAACAGTAGTAGTATGGGAAAAACGAAACTACAAAAAGGGGGACTACACAGGCATGAGGAACTTCCTGCAGGAGGTTCATTGGGAAAGAATTGGTAGGAAAATCAGTAAACGAAATGATAGACTATGTGACAACGGAATGCAAGGAGGCAGAGAAAACGTTTGTTCCCAAGGGCAATAGAAATAATGGGAAGACCAGAACGAGCCCTTGGTTTACCCAATGATGTAAGGAGACAAAAATTATGTGCACTAGAGAATGGAAAAAGTACAAAAGACAAAGGGCCCAGGAAAATAAGCAGATTAGTCGAAGATCCAGAACTGAGTATGCACAGATAGAGGGAGGCCCAGCGACAGTACAAAAACGACATAGCATCGAAAGTCAGGTCTGACCCGAAGCTGTTGTATAGCCACATCAGGAGGAAGACAACAGTCATGGACCATGTAAGCAGGCTGAAGAAGGAAGGTGGGGAGCTCACAAGAAGCAACCAAAAAGTGAGGAGCTCAACATGAGATTTAAGGAGGTATTTATGGAGGAAACAGAAAGGACTCTGAGAAGTCAGAATAGTGGGGTACACCAACAAGGGATATACCAACAAGTGCTGGATGACATACACTCAACCGAGGAGGAGGTGAAGATGCTAAGTGAACTTGATACCTTAAAGGTGGTGGGACCGAACATCTCTCCATGGGTCCTTAGAGAGGGAGCAGAGATGCCGTGTGTGCCACTAACAACAATATTCAACACATCCATTACAATTGGGCAACTACCCGAGGTATGGAAAACGGCAAATGTAGTCCCCATTTATAAGAAAGGAGATATATACAAGGCACTAAACTACAGACCAGTGTCACCAACGTGTATAGCATGCAGTCATGGAGAAGATTATCAGGGGGAGAGTGGTGGAGCACCTAGAATGGAACAAGTTTATAAACGACAACCAGCACAGATTCAGGGAAGGAAAATACTGTGTTACAAACCTACTGGAGTTTTATAACAAGGTAACGGAAGTAAGGCATGAGAGGAAGGATTGGGTAGATTGCATTTTCTTGGGCTCTAAGAAGGCCTTCGACACAGTTCCTTACAAGAAATTAGTGCAAAAGCTAGAGGATCAGGGATGCATAACAGGAAGGGCACTGAAATGGATCAGAGAATACCTGACAGGGAAGCAACAACGAGTCATGGTATGTGATGAGGTGTCAGAGTGGGTGCCTGTGAGGAGTGGGGTTCCACTCAGAAGTGTCCCTGTTTGCAGATGATGTGAAGTTAATGAAGAGAATTTAATCGGATGAGGAACAGGCAGGACTGCAAAGAGACCTAGACAGGCTGGAAGCCTGGTCCAGCAACTGGCTACTCGAATTTAACCCCCTCCAAATGCAAAGTCGTGAAGATAGGGGAAGGGCAAAGACCGCAGACAGAGTATAGGCTAGGTTTACCTGAGGTTTATCTGGAGTTTACCTGGAAAGGGTTTCGGGTGTCAAAGACTGCAAACCTCACTCAAAGGAAAGGATCTTGGGGTGAGTATAATACTGAGCACATCTCCTAAGGCACACATCAAGTAGATAACTGCTGCAGCACATGGGCGCCTGGCAAACCTGAGAATAGCATTCCGATACCTCAGTAAGAAATCGTTCAAGACAATGTACACTGTGTATGTCAGGACCATAGTGGAGTATGCAGCACCAGTTTGGAGCCCACACCTGGTCAAGCACACCAAGAAATTAGAGAATGTGCAAAGGTTAAGGGAAATCGGCCTGGCGACACTAGAGGACACGAGGGTTAGGACAGACATGATAATGAAATACAAAATACTGCGAGGTATTGACAAGGTGTACAGAGACAGGATGTTCCAGAGATGGGACACACAAACAAGGGGTCACAACTGGAAGCTGAAGACTCAGCTAAGTTACCTGGAGTTTACCTGGAGAGAGTTTCAGGAGTCAACACCCCTGCGGCCCAGTCTGTGACCAGGCCTCATGGTGGATCAGAGCCTGATCAACCAGGTTGTTACTGCTGGCTGCACGCAATCCAACGTACGAACCACAGCCCGGCTGGTCAGGTGTCAACTTTAGGTGCTTGTCCAGTGCCTGCTTGAAGACAGCCAGGGGTCTATTGGTAATGCCCCTTATGTATGCTGGGAGGCAGTTGAACAGTCTTGGGGCCCCTGACACTTATTGTGTTCTCTCTTAACGTGCTAGTGACACCCCTGCTTTTCATTGGGGATGTGCTGCATCGTCTGCCGAGTCTTATGCTTTCGTTGGGAGTGATTTTCGTGTGCAAGTTTGGTATTAGTCCCTCTAGGATTTTCCAGGTGTATATAATCATGTATCTCTCCCTCCTGCATTCCAGGGAGTACAGGTTCAGGAACTTCAAGCGCTCCCAGGAATTGAGGTGTTTTATCTCAGTTATGCATGCCATGAAGGTTCTCTGTATATTTTCTAGGTCAGCAATTTCACCTGCCTTGAAAGGTGCTGTTAGTGTGCAGCAATATTCCAGCCTAGATAGAACAAGCGACTGAAGAGTGTCATTATGGGCTTGGCATCCCTAGTTTTGAAGGTTCTCATTATCCATCCTCTCATTTTTCTAGCGGATGCGATTGATACAGTGTTATGGTCCTTGAAGGTGAGATCCTCCGACATGATCACTCCCAGGTCTTTGACGTTGGTTTTTCTCTCTATTGTGTGGTTGGAATTTGTTTTATACTCTGAAGTTTTAATTTCCTCACGATTACCATATCAGAGTAACTGAAATTTCTCATCGTTGAACTTCATATTGTTTTCTGCAGCCCATTGGAAGATTTGGTTGATGTCTGCCTGGAGCCTTGCAGTGTCTGCAATGGAAGACACTGTCATGCAGATTCGGGAGTCATCTGCAAAGGAAGACACGGTGCTGTAGCTTACATCCCTGTCTATGTCAGACATGAGGATGAGGAACAAGATGGGAGCGAGTACTGTGCCTTGTGGAGCAGAGCTTTTCACCGTAGCCGCCTCAGACTTTACTCTGTTGACTACTACTCTGTGTTCCATTTGTCAGGAAATTAGAACACAGAGTAGTAGTCAACAGAGTAAAGTTTGAGGCTGCTACGGTAAAAAGCTCTGTTCCATAAAGCACAGTAGGCCTACTCGCTCCCATCTTGTTCATCTCATATTAAAGGGATGTTAGGAAGTATTTCTTTAGTCACAGAGTTGTCAGGAAGTAGAACAGTCTGGCAGGTGACATAGTTTGATAAAGCTCGTGGAGCAGGGAGAGGACCTAGTAGCGATCAGCGAAGAGGCGTGGCCAGGAGTTATGACTCGACCTCTGAAACCACAAATAGGTGAGCGCGCACACACAGGAAAAACTGTGTCAAACAAATAGACTTTTGGACTCAAACAGGAAGACTACACTATGTAAACTATAAAATCAATAGTAGTAAAATAAGAGAAGTTATATGGAGAATGACGTCGAAGATCGTTTTCAAATCGTTGTACTTTACCAGAGCATTGAGTGGTTAGAAGGCAATTTATTATTAGCGTTTAAAGAAAACTGTTACATTCATTGTGAATTAATCTTAAAACACTGTTAATGATGAGTTGAGTGTGGTTCTGGTTACACTGTAGTTTTAGAAGACTCAAAAGCAGGATGGCCGATGTTCAGGCCAGCTCTAGAATACTGTTAACGCCGGATTTTTTGAAGTTCTGGCCACCAAGACTTTGTCTCCCACTGCCACAGGTCCTGTCACGTCGATGGCCATGTTGATGCCGAAGAGGGGACTCGTAGCCCACGCCTTAGCCAACTTGGCTGGCTCTTTTAATGAGCGGAACCTGAAGTAAAAAAAAAAATAGTAGTAAATGGTTGCTTATAATTAGTAAAATTCCTTATATTTCACGCCACTGAGCTCGTTGTATTAAACGAAAACCAGGAGAGGGGCCTAAGTTAGAAGTGGCTGTGTGTAAGTTTGAAAGTGTGTGAGGGTACATGTTAGGATGTGTGGGGGTAGGCAGGTTATTAGCCTGAGTGTGAGAGATGGAGACTGCATGGTTGCAGAACACACTACCTTCTCATGGACCCCCATTCCTGATTTTTACACCTGTGTGTGTGTTACCCACATTTATATAACTTTTCTCTGGAGCTTTAACAACGGTGTTTACCGAGGCATGTATCTAAGTATTTTATTTTTTAACCACAGTATTTGTTCCTTTCCACTTGCCAGTAAGTTGACCTTGTAGTGAAATCCCTAGAAAACTTCAGAACACAGGGCATACTGTATTTTTATCCATATTTTAAACCCCCATTTTGAAATCTTGTTTGAAACTATTTTTCAGTAATCAGCTTAAGTTTCTTTACTTCCTCCTTTATTTAACTGGATGTTGAGAAGAAGAAAGAATTTAGTTCACTTCTGCTGTACTATCTAATTTCAGCTATCTAAACAGAATTATAAGTAGGTAGACTGTAGCCTGTCTTCCTCATCCAACAGACTCGATGGACAGTGGGATCTCCTGTTATTTGCTCTTCCCTTGTATTTTTTCATTTACAGAACTTAATACACTTTTAATGCTTGCTATTTAGAGTCTCTCAGATTTCCTCCTCCAATTCTGATTTTCCTCGTCATTGATCTTTCGTATTTCGTCTTTCACATTGGTTTTTTTTACAACCTTAAAAAAACTTTTTATCTTTCTCATTGCTTATGTCTACATTTCGTTTTTTAAGTTTAATCTTCCTGATACGTACGGGGTTTAGTGTAAATTTTGTTTACTACGGAGAGTAGTTCGGGATTTTTGATACTAAGGAGGTTTAGTGCAGTATTGTTGATCGTATGGAGGTATGTCAGATGTTAATACTCACGTACAAAAGGAAGTGTCAGGACTGTTGATACGTACGAAGGGTAGTGTCAGGATTGTTGATACGTACGAAGGGTAGTGTCAGGATTGTTGATACTCGCATATGGGGGGTAGTGTCAGGATTGTTGATACTCACGTACGGGGGGTAGTGTCAGGACTGTTGATACTCACGTATGGAGGGTAGTGTCAGGGTTGTTGATACTCACGTACGGAGGGTAGTATCAGGATTGTTGATACTCACATACGGAGGGTAGTGTCAGGATTGTTGATACTCGCGTACGGGGGGTAGTGTCAGGACTGTTGATACTCACGTATGGAGGGTAGTGTCAGGACTGTTGATACTCACGTATGGAGGGTAGTGTCAGGATTGTTGATACTCACGTACGGAGGGTAGTGTCAGGATTGTTGATACTCAGGTACGGAGGGTAGTGTCAGGACTGTTGATACTCACGTATGGAGGGTAGTGTCAGGATTTTTGATAATCACGTACGGAGGGTAGTGTCAGGATTGTTGATACATACGTACGGGGGGTAGTGTCAGGATTGATGATACTTACGTACGGAGGGTAGTGAGTGGCTCCATCTTGGGGTGTCGTTCCCCTTTGACTGGGTCCACAGTGGTTAGCAGACATCTGTGTGGAGAAGCAAGGCAGAATAAAGCTAAGGTTTAAATTTAAAATTATTATAACTATAATTTTTAGAATGGGTGGAGTGGTAAGCCAGCGGAAGGCCTCGGTCAGATGATCAAAAGCTCCAGCTGCGGGTCATCACATGACTAAGACCGCGTCAGGAAACACTTGTCCTGTTTCCTGACAAATCTTACCTAACCTAAGGCAGAATGAGAGAACATGAGGAGTTCTCTAATTATCACAAATAAAGTGTAACGAAAATATTAATTTAAATTTCAGAGAAAACTGAAACCGTATTTCATTTAATATAGAGTATGTATATTTTTTATTAGATTATCTAAATTCTTTATATAATGTAGCTTAAGAGAGTAGGATTTAACACATTAATATTAAATATTTTAATACTAATATTAAATAGCTACTGTTAAAAAGCTTTTCACTACCTTAATGTGATCCTGACAGCAATATACTATGTCAAACAAAACCCAAAACCTACTTCTTCGTCCAATTCTGTCCCTGTTCTTCCTCCAGTCTTCCTTCAACTCCCATATACTGTTAGAAACCATGTACTGTCTCATCACATTTGTATTGTAATTAAAGTAACTGGTACAACTCATTCTGCTTAACTTAGTTATATCTTGTTATTGTGATCTTTATTATGAACTGAGCAAATTTTTAGTATAAGCTAAGTTTTGCCGGAGATGCTATGCATTCTTTGGACCTTCAGTTTATTGTATGTCTTGTGCAGTAATACTGAAGTTTAGATTAGTGTCTGCATTTGCATTTGATCAACATTAATAACCTCCACAAATGTTATAACGAACTGCCCGACCAAAACTTCCAAAAAATTGTGCCTGAAAAAAATTCACAAGTAGTTTTATGTTGTAAGTAGTTATAATTTAATTTAAGGCTGTCCTTAAAGCTCTGCATAACCAGGGGCTTTCTTTTAATGAATTATGTCAGTAATCTAACCTTTTCTGTACTGATTTTAAACATTTTTTATAAAGTGTATTTTATTTTAAGAGTATGGAAATAATTCTAATGACTTACCAATTTGTAACACTTTCATTCATTCTGCAGGCAATATACATCGCACCACCAAAACGCGTTTGGTTAACTGGTTTAGTTGATATAACCTTGCTCACACCAATATCACAGTGAATCCTATAAACTAATTAGTTCTATTTACCCTTAGCTAAACAACCTCATTTATGCCTCCAGAATGTTTAAGACAATCTTCAATATGCTAACTAATACCCTTCATATAGTCATTAGACAAAATTCCACTACACTTTTCTTCATCTACCCGAGATGAATTCATACTCTTGATATACCGAACTTGCACTAATTCACTTGCATGGTCAAATCATCTCAAAAACCCATGAATTAGACCTGTTTCGGTGTTTGTGCGATCCGAGAAAGGTATCCCACGTATCCAAACTCCAACCCCCAGTACCTCTACCCATAAAAGACAAGAGGTTGTATTCCTACATTACTTTGATGTACTCCACAGCTGGTTCCCCTTCATTGTCTAGACTGTTCCAGACTGTTTTCTGTATTGTATACTACATCCCATGATGCTTCCCTACATTTTTTAAACATCAGTTTTACCTCAGCTCATTTCAAAGCCCAGACCTATCAGTGGTATACTACCCTGCGCCCCCCAGGATGCCACCCACAACAGTCGACTAACACCCAGGTACTTACTTGCTGCTATGTCAACACAGGTAGCAGGTGCAAGGAAACATCCAGCGTTTCAACCCATGCTGGGGATCGAACTATGGACACTAAGTATGTGGGCTGAGTGCACTGCCAACCGAGCAACGAGACATCTTGAATTGTGTTTCCCATGCTATTTCCCACACACTGTTAAGTGTATCCCAAGATTGTTTATTATCTGGTGCATTCTTTATTTTCCTGCGTAAAAACGCGTGTCTAATACAGAGACGATGTTGAACACCTCGTGAAGTTAAGTGAGGCTTTATCACTATCACCATCGCTTCACCACCACCACCATAGCTTCATCACCAGCTTCATAACTTCACCACCATCACCATGGCTTCATCTTACGGTTTATAAACCCTCAGAACAGACAGGAAGAATAAACAGACGCATAGTGGCAACAGATTAATGGAGAAGGACTAAGTCTGTTATGCTCAAAAAATGTTCGAGCAGCATACCTTCAGTGATCAAAAATAAGTGTCTTTCTACTTTGCGTAAAGTGAACGGAGAACAAGTGCCTTACCTCTGGCATGGTTTCACCTTCCTGAAGACCACCCGCCCGATCTTCACGTAGGCCCAGTCGTCCTCGTCTGAGGGTGCAGAGCCTCTGACCACGATGTTTGCACGGAACTGGCTCATAGTGATGGGTTCCGAGAGGCGAGAGTTGAGGTCCTCTAGCGAAGACTCTGTGCCAATCATGTAGGCGCAGTTCTCCGCATAGTACAACTGCGCAAAATAACAATCACAATCTCCAGGTAAAGTGGAATCTCGAGTGGGTATTTCGCATTTCACTATTGAGATTTACACACACACACACACACACACACACACACACACACACACACACATATATATATATGCGTCAGTGGTTACCATCTACAGCCCGTTCTGCCTTCTGTTTATTCATTAACAGTTGTTCATTACGACTGAAATTGAGTTTATAGACTCTGGCTTCGAGGGAGGTGCGAATAGATCTACCACAAAAATTACTGTGGTTGTTTTAAATGGCAGTGAATACAGACGGTAGCAGATTACGCAGACAGGACACAGCAGTGCCTTCTGTGGTACTTTCCTATTAGAAAAGTCCTGTAGCTCAGTGATAAAATGCTAAACGTGTTAATTTCGGGACAACAGTTCGAGCCTCCCGTCTACCTGTCTATTCAAATTCTCTGAAGGTAAGTGCTATGTTGCACCATCCTTCAGAACATTTATATTTATTACAAAGTAATTTAACTCACTGTGTCAGAGTTGCGGATCTTCGGGAAGTCGTAGTAATCAAATCTTCGGGCTGGCCTATTCTTCACCACATCTCCCCGGTACAAGAGTCGAAGTTTGGTCTTACCTTGAGAGACGACCCGGGTTAACATATCAGCCACCTCATCTCCACAATCCACGCCTTTTACATTTTGATCCCATACCCTGTAGGCCGACAAATGTTACATTGCATATACATGGTTAACAATACCGACAAGATGAAGAATTAGACACATGTGCAACATCTGGGCATCTTTAACTGTAGACGTTTCGCCATCTAGTGGCTTTATTAATACAAGGACAATGTGAAGAATGTAAAACTATATACAAAAGATGCGGTAATCAGTCCCTCAGCCTTAAAATTGGTGAAGAGTACCTTAGTATTCAAGACTACGGTGCTGTGTCTACAAAATTCCTTTTAAAATATGTAATAACGTGTATTTCGGCCAAACTGGAAAAAGACCTCAACTAAGATTACAACATAGATATTAGCATTAGAACTGGACAAAAGTCTGTTATGTTTATTCATGCGAGAGATTTTAACCACCCAACTGAATTTCAAAAGGACGAGAAAGCTGTATTATGCAGGTCCATGGTTGAGAGAAATATAATAGAATCAAGCTTCATAAAAATAGTATTAATTTCAATATGAATATTAGTTCAGGGTTATATTAATTAGATTCATTTATAATTAAAATTTAGGACGAATTTAAGCTATGCATGACAGACCCTTGACATTCTCAGCCGCATCATATTGGGACGGGTGTAATGTGGTATGTGAGGCGGTATCTCAGCCTTATATGTCTTTTTATGTTTATTATTTTTATAGGGCCCAGATAATGTGATAAATCTAGTTCGCTAATTTTTCCATATTGGTTATTCTGCATAATATAATTATAATTTATATATATAATATATAATATTATATATATATATATATATATATTATATATATATATATATATATATATATTATATATATATATATTTTTTTTCAACAAGTCGGCCGTCTCCCACCGAGGCAGGGTGACCCAAAAACAAGAAAGAAAAATCCCCAAAAAGAAAATACTTTCATCATTCAACACTTTCACCACACTCACATTATCACTGCTTTTGCAGAGGTGCTCAGAATACAACAGTTTAGAAGCATATACGTATAGAGATACACAACATATCCTCCAAACTGCCAACATATATATTATATATGCAAAACAACCACTCTGAAAGAATAGAGAAATTCCAAGCGCTTTCGTGACTACTCACATTATCATAGTTCCTTGATAATGTGAGTAGTCACGAAGCGCTTGGAATTTCTCTATTTCTTTCAGAGTGGTTGTTTTGCATATTCTGAAATCACCTGTTTACTGTGATCTTATTGCATATATATATATATATATATATATATATTATATATATATATATATATATATTATATATATATATATATAATTATATAATATATAAATATATATATATATATTATATATAATGTTTAGATTCGCAGAACGGCACTGGGCAAGCCCCTAA